TCGATTCATTCGTATTATGTACACAAATAGAAACTAAATTTAAAGCAACCTAGTTCGATAATAGAAAGGGATGCGCAAAAAACAATTATTTTACTATCATTTAGTTTTATTGATATTACAATATCATAATACTGTCATAATACGGTGTTTATCGCGTACCTTATGGAGAACTGCTTTGTGAAGTAGAGGCAGTGCGTCTCCACAAACTCTAGCATTCCATAGAAGATCACAGCGAAATAGTTCAGGGTGTTCACCTTGGTATGCAGATAAGTCTGAAATCATCGATTTTGCCATGCGTAAATTATAAGAAGATCTTACGATATGCGTTGACTTTAAATGTTTTCTTCTCAATTGAGATATCCTACTGTTATCGCCGTAATGCTACTATTAAAAACATTTTTATATTATAATTGCCTTTCAAATAATAACAATTAATTAACGAATACATATAGATTCGGAAAGGCAATAATCGTTTGTGTGCTGCAGCGATGGCGCACGAACGACTAACATGGTGTCCTTTTAAACTGTAACAGAATATACGTTTGGAAAATTGGTGTCTCTTAGCAGAGAAACTTCTAGAGATTGATTCTTTCTATTTGAAAGTACTTTTTCTACCTGTAGGGAGTCTGAAAATACCTTGAAACGACTTGATGTCCTGGTTAGAGATGGACTTGGACAAGTATTCAATCCATCCCCAATATTCCGGAAGAGCGCATAGGAAATCCTGCAACAAGCGTATCGGAACAATGCACGGATTCGAATCACCAAGAACATACGGTCAAGTACTCTAGAATTTTTAGAAGGGTCCATCAGAACACAGCACCATTGCAGCGGCGCTGCTCATTGCGATTTCTCTATTTCAATGGATGGATATTACGAACAGCTTAGGCGAAAGCTGGTCCTATATGTATTAGAAATTAAGCAGCGTTGATTTTTGCCATATACGTGCCTGAGCATCGGCAGGAAGTTGAGCTTCTTGGTCCGGTTCGACAAGCATAGTTAGCCTTGGATAGCCATGTAATGCTAATACTTGTCTCGCACGAGGCTCCCGGATCCAACGGCGTACGGTCGCGTCGATACGATCGCAATATGAATACAAGGCTAACTCGTTTGCCACATCCCATGCGGTTTGATTTTGCTATCAACGAAGATACGACAGAAAATATATTACCGTTACTTTTTTGACCTTTGGACAGGGGTCAGTGACAGTGACTGTTAGCGTACTACATACAGGAGCCTTAAACATAATTTTCCTGTGGTTGCCGTAGGCTAGGCAGTAAACGCATATAAGAGCAGGACATTATGCCATAGAATTATCAATTCATTGGCTCCACATGTTCAGAGAATCTCTCAACTTGTTGAAGCAACAAAATACACTCACACAATAGCACACAATGATATTATATAGCGCAAATGAAACAGACGTTGTCTTATAGCAAAGCGCGTGGGTTGGAGCCCCCCGGAACTTCATTACTGTACTATTATTATATTACTATAATATTATCTTCCTCAGTTCAGTTAAACGAAAACCGCATTATATAAAAACGAAAAAGCTAGAGAATGTTTAATCTGCGAAAGCACTCACGCAATTACGCTGAGCAAGAACGAGGGGCCCGCTACGGTCTACGAGTAGACAGAAGGACTCTAGCGGAACGCAATTACGGACAGCTACCTCCAAAATTCCTTGGCTCTGCAACATATTGTGACAGTATATAATGTCAGAATTACTCATTGCATGAAATTAACTTTATCGACACGCACATGTATTTAGATGTAATCCTGGGTTTATCAGCTTTATGTTACCTTATAAAGGAGTTGCTGTAAAATCGATTCGCACATAGTTGTCTTCGATATTAGCGCATCAACCATTTCCGGCCTAAGCGATTCGTTCAAAGCGGTAAACAATACCGGGCACTCAACCTTAAATAAAGAAAAACATGTGGCTTAATTATGAGTGAACCCAGAGCATGCGGAATAGTCCTAAACTCTACTCCTAAAACCTCCCTATATAGTAAACTATGATTTCTGTACGGCTAACGTTTGGAATCCGATATGTGGCGCTAGAGTCACAATGCTCAATTGTAAACATGAACATTTTAACCCAATGGCGAAAATCTGCTTGAAATCAGGTCTAGTGGTCTATTTCCATTTTACGCAAATATCGTGTAGATTTCCGCCGAAAAAAATCAATTTTTCGCTGGAATTGTTAAATGTAGGTATGTGTTTCATATGCAAATATTGGCATAGTCATTAAGAGCACCGGTATCTCCTAGAGAAATAGAGACATCATGCAGGTGCTTTACGAACATGCGATGTTAGCGTTACTCACCCCTTGGGGATCCGTCATAACCGTAAATAGTTGTGCTCCACATTCGACGAGAAGTCGGGCAATCTGGGCGTCACCATTTCGAATAGCGTAGTGAAGGACGGTCGCTCCTTGTCCCGCTAGATGACGCAGGTTTAAACGCAAAGTCGGAGTCGATTTACCCGACAATCCTTGTAATGTTGTTTTCACCTTACGCCCGTCTCGTGCCAATACGTGGTGAACCAGTTTCTAGTAGAGTATAAGAATAAAATACGACGTTTGTCAACGGGGGGAAACGTCCTAAAAATTTAGTGCTGTTAGTTAAATTCCTATACTGGCAGATCATAAATCGAGTGATGTAAAAAGGACGATAGAAACCCTAGTCTATGTCGCTGCGTGAGCCGATCGACAATTACGGCCAACTGTATCATCATCATCGTGCAGGGCGAAATGGACTAGCTCTCACTAATACATAATATCTCGCTCGATTACCATCGTAGGAGAAATTCCCGAGATGAGTTTGATAATCTGCTCGCTGCCCTGGCTCTCTGCTAACTGCTGCAGGGTCTGTCCGTACTGGAAGCGATGAAGTAATAAACCGTGCTTATTACTTGACTAGATGGATTTTGGTGGAATATCGGGAAAATCTTACCGCTTTTCCTTTTTCCACGTTACAGGATTGTGCATTTGATGCGCGTACATATTCTCTTTCAGCGTGTCTCATAGAGTGGATTACGTGGACGTAAAACAGAAGAGAGCATAGGTGTTCCCTTAAGATTGCGCGAAAAACTCTAATTTACGATGTGTATTGTCGTTCCGAGCAATTGAAATGAAAACTAACTATATATAGTTATTTCACATACCTTCAAGGTGTCCATCCTGACCCACAAATTTATTAACCTGCAATAGAAACCATAGATTTTTTAATAAAATAAAAACTGGCTTCAGTCGAATAAAAATACAAAATGACTAATTTCGTAAAACGAGTAACTGATCTATTTAACGCCATTTTATTGCTGTACCCAGAAATTCGTCCTTTTTAGACGGACAAGTATTTGTAGCCTTGACATAAAACGCGTAGCATTAGTAAGGAATTGTGAGGGTCTTTTTTTATTTCTATTCTATAAGAAACATCCCGAACGACATGACGTCGTACCAAAGTTTTTTTAGGCTTATAGCTCGTAAATATTCGCATTTATTTTAGTAGTTAAAGTGTTTTTTTATATCTGTGTCAAATGAATTAGTTGCCGCCCCTCGAATGATGGCCCACTAAGAAGGGTGTGGGTGTATATGATTCCGACCTTTATGTTTATCATAAAAAACTGATCTCGAGGCGACTTTTTACCTGCGAACGTCGGCAATGTTTCCACTATGAACGGCGATCCACATTCCGGGTTGAAATTGTCTGATGATATTTTTCATCTCAGGAGTTATCCACTTTAGTTGCACCTGTAATAGGTTTACTCGAATAATTTGAAAAATCCTCAGGTTACTCGACTCTACAAAATATCTGTATTATCGTTATGTGTACGCAGCGGAGTAAAAATAGCAATTTTTTGTGGCTTACAAACCTCTTTAAGCTGTAGTAGATCCGTTGAGCACTGCAGGAGAGTGCGTAGAGCGGTCACGTTACAATTCGATATGGCTGCTACTAAGGGAGGTAGATAATATGGCTGACATCTTGATGCTGGGTCGGAGTTCGGATCAACCCCAAAGTCAACCAACATTAGAATAAAATCGCGGATAGCTGAAGAGCTCGTTGGCGTATCTTTAAGGAGGCACACCTCCTGGAGCAAGCCGAGGTTCTATAAAACGAACATGGATCTATGTCACTTTCTCCTATTCAATTGGTTCCCACTCATTGGTTCATCTTATATTTATTAGCGCAACTTTGTGCGAGTCTAATATTTGAAGATGCATGTTGCAGTGTACTGGAAGCACGAACAAGCCCTGTTTATCAGGCCCTGCAGCCCTGCAGATCAGCGGGAAGGTATGTCACCCTTGTAAAAGATCGACAAATATACCTCGTGGAAATTAGCAACGTAACACAGTCTATTATTAAAGCAAACTTATTTAATTTAAGCCTAGCATCGAAACGGACGATTACGAATTAGCTAGGAACATCTGACTTCATTCCCACTTCACGAAGTTGAAATCGAGTGCATAGTTTAATATTGATTAGAATACTAAACGCCGCTACTTGGCGTATTCTACTTAGCATATACTCGCTTAATACCAAATTAGGTCTAGCCGTTAGGTCACAGCGATATATAAACATGTATCATCAAATTTACATGCAAATCTATTGTAACCGATAGTACAGATAATTACTTTGAAATTATCTCTTTTTTACTCTTAGTGGTTTAACTAGTTATTCATTGCCGCCCTACCTCTACGATTCGCTCAATGTGTGAGAATCGAATAAAACACTGTCATATTTATTAAAGAAATTTATTTATTTTTGAAAAATTACACTAATGAATTTCTGCGCCCCCTTACCGTCGAGATGCGACAGCACACGATATGTGTGATAGTATAAAGAAACAGCTTGTCTATAAAATATAAAATATCATGATCCGAAAGTACAAAGTTCTTTACTTGATTTTTCTGCTTCGCTTCAAACGAAATTAGCTTTTACAGTATTAGGTGATATCTGTATCTTTTCGCCCGTTTACGCCTACTCCCTGTAACGTAACCCTTTTCCCACTATCATCTGCCTTCAATAAAAGGTTTTTCCTCTAATCAACGCAGGACATACATGAACACTATATTAGGAAATAGCATATAGACCTATAGTAAACTTTTCATTTTGTTAAATACTAAAAAATTACGTTAAAATTAGTTGAACTCTTCGCAAAGTGCTGATTGTGTCGAAGGGCAAATATTTAAGTCTACTGATGATACGAAACTATAAAGCCAAGCAGTTCTGAATACAAACTAATCTGTTATTAGGTATGCATGGTATATAGTCAAATATACAGGTTCTGTTTCTAATCAATTGCCCGCCCAAAGAATTGTACAGTAAAGAGTAACGGTTGTCTCCTAAACAACTGTTGATTTGTCGAACCTGGTAATTCCCTTCAGGGAGTTCGTCCAAGAGACGTCTCACTTTTTTAACGTCCAATGAGCGAATGCATCGTCGCAAGTCTTCCTGTAAAGTATAGCAATAAATATAGATTAATGGATGTCATCACTTAATAATCTAATTAGTACGACCTTAATAACATATCTGCTTTATTTATTTTAACTTTAATTTCCGGACCCCCAAAGGATATTATGTCAATATGTTTTACCATTCGATTTGTGTGTCTAATTAAATCGTTAATTTAAAATTTGAACTCACTGCTCATTCAGGTTCGTCTCATGACATGAAATACCCTTGCATGTCAAAATGAAGATATTTCAATTCATTTTAATGATGTAAACTTTGAAGAAATTCATGTCTGAGGCTTCCGGCTATTACTTGTCGACCGCAATTGTTTGGAGACCATCTGCAAACTCTGCGTCTTAACTATTAAATGTCAATGTTCGATTGATAAAAAAAAAGTATTGATCGTTTTTCTAGCTAGATGGTCTTCGTCTGGGGTAGTGTGGGGTAGCACAAGATTTGACAACAATACATGTAATGACATTGTTGGAATGATTTATTGAGGCTTACGATGTAGCGCCTTGACAATGAATGGAGTTTCTTTTGCCCTCAAAATGTTCAACGTAAAAGACTGAGCGGTCACCTAATTACAGACGGAGTCAGTGATATTATAGTCATGCCATTGCCGAGGAACTAATTATTCATCACAAAATAATTTTGAATTATTTAAAGAAAGCTAGCTATATATATATATTATAAGAAAGTTCAATACAATACAAACTGACGCAAAAAAATATATACTCGATCTATCGTATCTATGAAACTTTACGAAAGTACGACCAAATCGGAGCCATTTCTAAAACCAAAGACATGGTATGTGTTTTGATACGAACCAAAAGGAATCGTGCATTATGGAATGCTGACGCTTGGAAAATGACCGATTTGGGTTCCATTGTCAATAACTAACAAAACTAACTAACTAACAATAGGCCATTGTGAAAAATTGAAACTAGTGAACGAAAAAGGTGTTGTTTTCCGTCGTGAAAACGCCTGACCACATATATCGGTGCCTGCCGAAATAATCGATAGGACTTGAATAGAAAACTTCTTAATGATATCAATTTAGTTTCAACAAAAGGATACAAATATATTTTCTCACAAACCACAGAAGTTCTACAGTGATAGGGTTATGGTGCTAATAGAAAATGGCAAACGGTCATGAATCAAAACGGTTTAGCAATCTTATTGCGACATATTAAAAAAAATTCCTTTCATTTTTAAGTTAAAAGGGCTGTATATTCGCTGGTACGGAACAAGCCAAACATCGCTACTGCGATACGGGCCCACCACTGGAGTTATTATTAAAAGGTCAATGATTATTCCGATTCGGAAATTAGCCAAGAAAAGGAAAAGCAATTTAACAACATTTATACATTTGCTTGATGATGAAGATTCGAGCTTATATATTGGTAACTTTTAAACAAAAATGAAAGCTCATTCACTAAATAGGACACTATTTTTACGCTCATTCAAATGCAAAAACACACATTTGGGTATAATAAAAAAGACACTACTGCTTGGCAATCTTTTTTCACAGCCAGCATGCTTCCAATAAGCACACACACACACACATACACATCGGTCTGTACATGCACGAAATTGAGAGTTAAGCTTTTTTTTTTAGTATTATTTGCACGCACCACTGCTCCAGTCATCATGTGCGGTAATAATCCAGCGCCTAAACTCGAAGTTTGTCTTCTTCAGGTCGCCGATTCCGTTGAACCAATAAGAAGCCCAAATAAAACCTAGATTTGCAACTGATGATAATTGTTAGACTACCACTTGCACAACATATAGCGAAGTGAAGGGAACGGAAACAATGCCAACCAATCCAAACGAGTTTGCCGCCTTTTCATTGAGATGGTACTCGTCGAGTCTCTGTTGAAATCATTAGCACTTTTCTGTTGTTCTCAACGAAACAACGATAAAGACGCGAGTACATCTGAAGTGATGGCCGTACAGCCTTTGAGAGGAGCTTTCTTCTAGTCCTTAACATGTTGCCCTGCGTGGTCCTTTTGCTCCTGGTCACTCTCGTCCGAGTATGAGGAGTCAGGAGTCTAAAATTCCAAGGAATCCGGAGAAGGAGTGTGTGCACGGCGGAATGAGTTTATTTTAGGTTATGACCAGCGTGCAGCCGACATTCAGCAGTTGAGGGGCCCCATCATCTAATTCGCCTTTGTCCATTCCACCTCGTCCCATCAGCGTTGCACTCGGGGCGTCTGGCAATCCTTTATAGCCCCTCGCCCATCGTACCGCTGCTCTTCTGAAATCCGCCGCTGAATCGCTCCCTGTTGGTGTCAGCTTGCCTCTCAGGCTCAGAACGTCGGCGATTTTCGATAAAACGACACAGAGGGCGCTGCTGAGGATAGTGATCAGGACATTTCTGACTACAGCGGTCCTTCCCGTAGCTCAAAAACGCTGTCTTCTCTATTTAAGTTCTGTGTCAGTTATACAGAATGAGAAAAAAGCCTGAAACTACGAGCTTGACAGATCTGTGAACCTGATATGGATTGACGCGCAGTCAAGGTCCTTTATAAGGAATTACACCTAAGTAAAAAGTAAGAGTGGTTTCTTGCGTTGTAGGAAACATGCGTATTTTGAAGTGAATGTTGATGTGGATTAATTACTGGATTATAAAAGAACATTGCCTTTACCCTAGAAATCAGGCTGGTTCTTGATAGTTATTTTGGAAACGTCAATTTCAAAGCTCTCCTAAAAAGCCGAATCCTCTAGCCAGTTTTGTCTTCGAGATGAATGAACCGAAAAATAAGTTTTATCAACGACACAATATTATTAAATCATAATGACGGAATGACCTCAGAAACGTCTATACCAGCATAAAAACCATACATTTGATCACTGATATATACAAAACTTCGCAAGTTAGGGCATTATCTTCGTAAAAATGACAGTTAACTTCTATTTAATTGCTCGATATCAATAAATAGAAAGCTACAATAACATTTTTAGTAAGCACAATATTTTATTTACGAAATATAGGTACACATGATTTCGCTATTAATATTGGTCTTAAAAAAGTTGACGTAACTGTATAATTTTGCTTATCTCAGTCATATCTTGTTAGGTTTATATATATATACTGGTGATAATTGATGTATTATTAAGCTGTAGATTCATGTGAGACTGTCTAGAGCATTTCGTATTTCCTTCCGCGAGCTAAAGATATATCCTTTGCTCTGATAAGAAAAAAAATTGCAGCCTTATATTTATGCTTATTAAACGCCCTCAGGCAACCGATTCACGACTAACTATACGCCGTCAGCTGGTCTCTGGGCCGACAGCCACCGCTCTGTTTAGTTAGCTTTTTTTAGAACATTTTATAGTTTATTGGTATAGTTTACTCTTTTGATAAGTGTAGTTAAGTATAGTGGACTTGTTGTGCAAGTGTGATAGAAGCTTAATATATAGAACTTAAACCTCAGACACATGTAAATGTTCATGTTAGTGATGTCGATGAGGAAAAAACTGATCAATAACGGTTTCATTTGGTGGGATCAAAAGTGAAATCTTTTGCTTGAATGAAATTTGGCATTCGAGTAGACAATAAGGTGAGTTAGGCACAGTTTTTTAATGTTGCTTTTTCGCTATTCATGCATTAGTTCGACGTTTTCAACGCGCTTACAAACTCATGATACTAAGGATGCTAAAAAAAGGGAGTTTAAATTCTTGATTTTTGCCAGTCTTAGGTAAATTCTGTTGATAACCAAACATGGTAACCTACTGCCTCATGCTCAGTAGATTGCTGGCACAAGTTGAATAATAGGTCTGGTACCAAGATTCGTAAGTGGTGACATGACGAAGTAATATCTGCAAGTAGTAAAGCTTAATATCATCAACTGAGTATAAATAATACGTTTAGCATCTGATAATATATTATTTTGTCGTAGCCAGAGGTTTTAACAATAGTTTGTAAAAAATCACTATTCGATGAGAGCATAATGTTTTATCTAGTAAGTTTTATTTCCATTGGTTTAACGCTCGATAAAGATTATTTGCTATTACTTTTTGGCTGCCCGACCAGTTATAGGGTTGCCAGTTATCCCCAGTCATATACGATCAAATCATGTGAACATTCATAAGCCAGAGAGATCTTTTGTATTTGGCAATCTATTAAGACTAGCATACTTTACGGGGAGTTATTGCAGATCTATTCTTCTCTGCCCTGTACAGACTTACTGGTTTTCGGTGTCACAGTCTAATTAACAGGAAATACCAATGCATAGGGTTTCTAATACTATAATGGTCATAAGGGTGCCAACTATCTACGAAAATACCTGCTGCAAAGTACCTTTCTGCCCCCGGAGAAATTTTCCATACATGGATAGTGAGAAACCTCTAGAGAAAAAAAAAAACAGCCATTTAGTTCTAACCGAGGGGGCATTAAGACGTTATTCATATGCTAGAAGATCTCGAAGAAATTCAGAACTTGAGTAGTCCGAAAAGACAGAACTGCTTCAATAATCCTAAATATTTCAAATCGTATTAGACACTCAAATCTTTTTAACTGAGTTATAAGTAGCTTCTGTTGCTGTTATAGAGCGAATCACTTTCTCATAGCACAGACTTTTCACGGGCTCTCAATGCATGTTGTTATGCTATGCTAAAAAAAAAAAACATAAAAAAAATATTATTATGCTAAATGTCATCTAGAGACCGTGAGTTACAACAGTTAAACTGCCTGAGAATACCACGCCTCATTAATTTACATACCAACCAATAGCATTTGGCTTTAGCCTAAAATTTTCTTAATGTATCTTTTACTTAGTATAACTACTGGCAATAGTGGATAAAGCAAGCGTTCCAAGCAATACCAAAAGCTAGATTGACCTCGTGCGATGCCATATACGCTGTAATGGCTGAAAAGCAAAACTGACGTTGTCACAATAAGTACAATTAAAAGAAAAATGTAATCCCACCCAGTTAAATATATTTGCTATTAAAGTTAAATATATAAAAGGGTTTGATCAAATGACAACATATTGGCGTATCACATGTTTACCTAGTAATAACAACAATTGATCATAACTTATGCAGCTCTGGATAACCAGCGTTGTGATGTTATCTATCTACGCATTTTTTTTGTACATAAGTCGCTTCTTGTTCTATCTTTTTTTCGCCTGCTCAAATATACGCTTTCTTAACTAAAAGTCTTGTTTCTCCGATGGTCGGGTCGCCACATATATGTCTACCACATTTACCCGCTTACATATGCATTAAAAAATCTTCCTAATGACCAATTGACTGTGATACAACTGGGGATATCCGAACAGTCTTAATATTGGAATAGCCCGCTTTTATGTTATTTGCTTACTTATAGAGATTGCTTGAGCACTCTCGTTGTATGCGAATTTTCTTATATATATGCCACTTTACTTACCAGCATTGACTTAATAAAGTGTATGATAACGAAATATCAATAAAATGGATAATATTATTCGGCTTAGAAGCAAGTCATTTCGGGGTCTTTATGATTTCGGCACAGGCTGCGCAGAGGAGACGATTAGGTATGTCGGGGAGACTGACCGGATTAGATTCGTGGTGTATGCGTGATATCTATATTCTTCAAATAACGTATATTCGCCGATATTCATGGCTAGTTAATTTTTTTTCATGACATAGACAAAATGAACAAAGAAAATTACATTAAAAAGTGGGTAACATTTTATAATCAAACGAATATGCTTTTACTAGTGACCAGCCATTTTATTTATTTATATATATATATATATATATATATATTCGAATGCTAAATAAAAATCAACTACGAGAATGTTTGACAACTCTACTTGACCGGTTCAAGCTTCGTTGTTGTTGTTGATCTTTTAGATTGCATCCCAAATAACACATGAAAAACATGCCGAAAAGCACTTGCTGGTTTCCCCTCAAGTCGAAATCCGCCCAACGATGCTTGGTGATAACGGGGTTGGTTACAACGGCGGTACAAGACGCGGAAACTCAATACCGATAATCGTACTTGTCTAATTTATCATTGTGACTTTAGGCCGCTTAGATATATATGTGTAAGAGACCTACAAAGCCTTTACATTGACGCTTGTCATCTTGTTTCATTTGCATTTTACAGTTTTATAAATAAAATAAAATATGTACGGTTAACAGAGATCGAAACCTGACAAAACAATTTGGCCCAACCTGTATGATAACGAAATTTAGCAGGGTTAAAGGATATAAGAAAGCTTTGTACCTTTTACAGCATGAATCGCCTTGAAACGATCAAAATCGTTAAAAACACTATCAGGTATCTCAAAAGTAGAGTGAATTGTATATTACCAGACTTCAGATCACACGAGACCATTGCGTTAATAGTTATATATTTCTTATCTTCGACAAGTGCTACGTAAATATGTGTTTATTACAGTATTTCTACGGCTACTTACAGGGGTAGCAAATCGCTGCCATTTTTACAGGTTACTTTAGAAGTCTACAAGCATGTTTTGTCCACATACGTTCAATATATTAAATACGTATATTGACAGGGCTAAAAATCAATACACCTTTGTGCTCATAACGGTTAAGGCATTTTCGCGTATTGGCCTTTTAAGCTATTTCGTTTCTGATTTCGATATATAATTGATTTTAGGCAGCAAACGTTTTAGTCCTAATTCTAAGTAGAGTCTTAGGATTTAATTTTAAATTATAATCGAATGTTTTTTATAAACCTAATTTAAATGCTTCCCATATTGTCCCCACTTTTTCCTATTTGTACGATTTTTTTGTGTATCCTCCTATAAAGCTCTGTGCTGCTGTCCGCCTCGGTAGCGCAGTAGGCAGCGCGTCAGTCTCATAATCTGAAGGTCGTGAGTTCGATCCTCACCCGGGGCACGTGGCGGAAACATTTTCCTACCAAAATTTGTTGAATAGAGAAATACAGTAGGCCGCGTAAGGTAATTTGTTACGGCATATTTTCATGCACCGAATTGTAGTTTCAGTCATCCCTTCATATGTTTTCATCTTCTGTTACGTAAAATATATTCATATAATTTATTTTTCGGTGAAACAAAATTTTATTATTTTTCCGCAAAAAGATTAATAATTAGATAATAAGTAGAGTAAAATTATTGTCATATAACGTTTCGCTTACGTTGCTAAACAATTCACGGCGTGGCAGATCTTTTGACGTTCTGCTTTGTGTTAGATATGACTAGAGTGCCTTTTGCAGACTTCGCATCACGCCTGTTATACCATTAAACGCACCTTATCTTACCTGTCTAAAGATAAATTAATTGTAATAAAGGTACCGTCGGATAGCGCCTAGATATTCTGTAACAAATACAACCCAGCAGTGTCTTGCACAATATAGTTTAATACAGTTTTTTATGCAGCACATATTTAGTATGCTTATTCTTGCAATACAAGTTTAGTAACTCATTCATGCACACAATAATTTTTACGGAAATTTTTGTATATGTGATGAGATATCAGCACGAACGTGTTTCTGACCTCTATGCTATTTTTGAATAGTGGTGTGATGTTGCGTAAGAAGAAGCTGCTGGCCTTTGCTTGCGACCGACCAAATGAACGTTATGCTCTACTGGAAAGAACAAACTTTGTGTTCTTTAACGGTAGGAACAGTTATACAGTCGGCTCCATTTTCCGCGTAAAAGAGAGCTTAAGCGACCTACAAAAAAAAATCAGCCTGGATCGTGCCCTCTTATGGGTCGTACTGGATCGGATCAGCCCGCGCAACTCAACTTCTAATAGAATGGATAGATCATTAACACTACCGCGTCTTTTTCCCATTGCAAAGATATATTGTTTACAATCAGTACCCTAATTATGCTGTAACTTCAACGCATTGATAGATTCTGGCAACAGTTCAAAAGCTAAATTGTGTAAGGATAGATTGTCTTAAAGCAGTCGTAGAAGACGGCGAAATCAATGATCTCACTCGAGCGCTGTCAACAATCAGTTGAGCGCGCTGTTAATGAATAGCATTATTACACTTGACACTTTTTGTAGCGGCACTGCTCGACTAAAATATTGGACATTTCATTTTGCCGAACTTATATTGATTATTGTACACATTTTGCCAAACCTGTGGATAAAAGCTATACGTGAACCACAACGAAAGCATAATGAGCTTAGACTGAATTTTCAAGGTAGATATTAATGAAAAGAATTTCATTGTTAGTACAAAATTAGCACCTATAAACAAGTTTAGGCCACAGATCGAAGTGTAGGAGCCATTTTGCATATGAATCTGCAAGTATTCTACATGTGAGATTTCTGTAAAAAAAAATTAATCATCAGTAAATATCAAGGAAGCATTTAGTAGGACAATATATGAGCAAACAACGTCCTTTTATTCATACCAATTGTGTAGCATCTGTTGATAAGAACAATAACATGGTTCACCATCGTTATTGAAAATCGTCGATTCCATGGCTATGGTCATACACTTTGGTCGCAGGCAGTCGTATATCCTATCCAGCACTGTGTGTTGCAGATGTCCATGCAATTGGACAACAACAATGCGCTTTTTTACTCTGCTTATCCATTAATGAAGACATAGAAGTGCCTACCTAGAGTTTGATGACATTTTGAATGATAATACCACGGTAGAGTTTACTCGATCGTATCTAGCCATTCCACTCCTTTGTGGTAAAGCCGTCAACTGATACGGTCTGCAGTTATCCTTTACGCCGATGGAAGCGAAAATCGCACATTTTACGCCATATCTGAGACGGTCTATAGATAGCCTTACGTTTGTTTTACAGAACTACTTAATCTGATCTTTTTTAAGGTGTCCATCACAAGTTCTTTAGCCACAAGACCAATAGTGACGTTTGTTGTAACCTGTTTATATATATATATATCGTTAACGAAGCCAAGAGAACGAACTGCTTCACAAGGTCATTCCTGCGTGTGACGCATGTGAACAAAGAGACCTTATGCTGCTTGTCGCCTCGGGTAACGGTTTTAGATAGCGGTTAGTTGTAAAGTTTCACAGTTACTTAGTAGAAGCAATCGCTAGAAACAAATTCCAATCTAATAGTGAATTTCGATATCTTATCCTCCCACAACTTAGATTTTAGCGCCACAAAAGTTGTTGTTGTGAAGTGGTGAAAAAACTAAACGTAACTTGTCTATTACACTACTCTAGTAATAGTAATTATTATTTGCGTTTCTATGTGGCTATCGTGTTAGGCACGTTAGAGGCTACTGCAGTGAAACATAGGCGGGTATTTTCGTTCCGGCAAAGATCTGCAGTTCAATGCATAATTTCGTATAGCAGCTTTCAATTGACCGATTGAATAATCATTATTCGGGCCGTCGGCAACAACATTCCACAATGTTTTTACAGATTGGATTTTACTGATACTACAGAATCTACGTATAATAGATAGACCTACAATAGTTGTCCGGCAATTGTGAGTTCTGCTTTGAACTGTACAACCGAAATTTAAAGAGATGCAGAGCTCTAAAATGTATTGGTCTGATGTATTATGTAAAACCTTTAAGCTATCGTAACAAAAATGTTTATTTTAAACAATGCAGCAGATAATTATAAGATTGGTAGTAACACCTACCTATATATTAGAAGATTCAGGACACAATTTATATCGGCAACACTACGCATCTTTAGACAGTGCTTTAGTGAGAGTAAACCTTACTATATAAAACAAATTGATCTTTTTATTAAAGCTTGTATTATTTTACTCACTTAGAATCACACGCAGCAGAAGCATATAGCCAAATAGTATTCTGCAATGTCCGGTGGTAGTGATTCTTCAAGATACTCTCCAATTATTTCTGTGAAAGGTCGGCATCTTAGAGTATAATGATGAATTTAATCGGCTCTTTTATTAGCTGTAGCAGTGTTCTACAATTATATATACATTGGTGGGTTGAAATACTAAAAAAGCAATCATCAGTGTGTCTATGTTTGTTTGTTCGTTCGTGTCGCATAAATTGTCTCTATACGTTTAAGAAAGTTCCTCCAAAATCCATTCACAAATTAGCGACATTTTTTCATCCTTTTATTTTATCATTTTTAATTTATTATTTTTTATTAATTCATCGGGCTAACTAACTAACCACCGTAGTACCATGCGTTCCAGGTAAAAGCCTTTCTCCTGTTGTTTTCCTAATATGACAGACTGGCCAACCTAAAACGCAGTTATTTTTATGTTTAGGACTCTTTCGTTTCTGTTGTTATATTGTTACAACATTTTGACTTGGCTAACTTAGCCCACAGTTGCCCCTATGGGAAAAGGACATATCGACTCTCGAATCATGTTGTCTTCTTACTGCCGTTGGCCTTATGCCATTCTCGATTAAGACCTAAAGTCATTCCTTCGAGTGTCTTTTAAGCTAGTAGATTCCCCGATATTTCTCTGTTTGGTATGTATTGAATCACTACCAAAACGTGCGCGTCTATAACGATACAACATTTCTTTTAGAAGCTGTCATCTATCTTGTTGATGACCCTGAATTTTTTCTCTATTTCGATGTCTATACGGGTATCTATTCACTCAAAGACCAAGGAACATAAAGGCCGGATCTTCAACGCCATCCTTAATCTTCTTAAGGAAAGTGACTGCCTCCCTACCATCGATTAGTCGGTGATCATACGTCAAACAAATGTACATCATGGGCCTGATCTTGATTTCGTTGTTAATGACAACTGCCCGCTGTTGAATGGCGTGCATGCCCAAAATTGCTGACTGAGGTGGATTGATAATGGGCGTACCGAACATCGACCCAAAGACACCACCGTTCGAGATGGTGAACGTGCCACCATCCATGTCTTCAATTGCCAACGAACCCGTACGCGCCTTTTCCCCGAGAGCCGCGATTGACTTCTCAATATCAGCGTAATTCATCCCGTCTACGTTACGGATGACTGGTACGACAAGACCCTTTGGCGTCGAAACGGCCACAGAAATGTCAACGTAGTCACGGTAAAGTGTCTCATTCCCGTCAATCACGGCATTGACCACCGGCTGGTCCTTGAGGGCGTATGCTGATGCCTTGACAAAAGCCGACATGAAACCGAGCTTAACACCGTGCTTTTTCTGGAACGCGTCCTTGTGTTTTTTGCGCAGTTCGGTAATGCTGGTCATATCGATTTCGTTGAACGTCGTCAACATTGCATAAGTGTTCTGGGCATCCTTCAGGCGTTCCGCAATTCTTAGCCTCATTCGGTTCATTTTTACACGGGTCTCAGTGCGCGCGCTGGGGGCCGCAGCAGGCATATCGAAGATAGGCGCCTTGATATCCTTGGTGCTTGCCATTGACATTGGAGTTGATGACACCGGCGGTACAGGCGGAGGCACAGTGGTGATTGGGGGAGGAGTAGCGGCTGTCGGTGCGGGCGCAGCTATAATAACAACATTGAAAACAATAAAGAAGTCTTAATAAAAACGTGTGTCGTAATAGACGTGGGGCTTACAATTTGAAAAAAATGAACTGTTAGGCTTATGTAGTTTTCAATAGTGTCGTCACAGCGATTAATCTTGTTGTTTGGTTTATTGAAAGTGCTGCAGACGAAGACTAGCGAGTAAATTGCTATCGTATATGAGTCCCTTTAAGGAACTGGTTTACGGAACCTTGTTTCCAAGCATGCAGGTTGTCTTTACAGCTTTTTGTACATCCTAGAGATCAAAAGAAGGATTTTTTATACGCTTCTCTATACTTATATGCACATTCCATGTATAAATTAAGTTCGTTTAAACGTGACCATGTACTCGAAAATTTGAGCTTCGAAATTTCGAAGCTGTAACTTATAACCTTTACTTTTAATTTGTAGAAATGATTTCTTATGGAATAATGTAGTGTTCCTTTTTATTGGAATTGTATTTCAAGTCCCAAAGATATTGGCTATCGAAGAGGTCCTCATAAACCCGGAAAATTTATAGCAGGTTGTAAACAGACGTAAGTTCTTAATATAGCTTTGAGGATGGCTTACATTTTCTGTTTGCTTGCATCTCGACATATAATCCGTTGCATAAGCACTGTATATCATTACAAGCCACGTAATCGATAGACGAAATACGTACCCACAGATACGGAAGCATACCACACTCACGATTAGCCCAGACACACTTAGGAGCATTACCGTCCCCTTCGTTTTCCCCTTCTTCCCCTGAGAGAAAAAATCCCCTCATAAGCATTGGTTCAACTAAATGAGACTCAACTGAACGTACCAGGAGCAGCTGCGGGTTGCGGTGTGGCCGCAGGCGCCGCGCCTCCGGTGGCTCCGACCTTGATCTTAACGATAACTTGTCCAGGTTTTACGGTAGATCCATCTTCGACACAGAACTCTTGGATAACACCGGCAACTGGCGAGTGAATAGGAATGGAGGTCTTATCAGTTTCGACTTCGGCGATGACATCATCGACGGCTATCTGATCGCCAACTGCTTTCATCAATCGGATATCACCTTCAGATAAAGATTCGGATAGCTGCGGGCACTTAATCGTTTCCAGCTCGTTGAATAGTGCACGACTCGTGCGGAACAGCCGCTCGAGACGGACTTGTGGCGCAATCGACGTCGGATACTGTGCGCTTTGGTCGAGGGTGCGTAACATAGCGCGCGATAGTGCCCGCGTCCCCACACGAGTGGCCGGAATTTGGGGCCGAGCCGCTAGCAACCGACTAGCATTCCGGCCTGAAGAAGTCACACTCGATAGCAATCTCAACATTTTCGAATGTCCCTCGCTGCTAAAGGTGAACCGATGTCAACAACACCGCAGAAGCTAGCAGACGGTGCATATTTCTGGGAGAGCTAACCGTGAAGGGAAAGGGAACTCTGTGGCGAGAGGGTGACGACCACCAGTCAGTCAGTTAACAGAACGGCTAAATAGCGGGAACAAATACAACATTGTTCATTCGAGTAAATGCGCGCCAAAATTCGGTGTGATCGCGGCGTTCAATTGAATAAGGTAGATCACATGTTATTAACTTGTTGGTAGTACTAACCGAAAAAGATCAATAACTACATCGAATTTAAGAAATAAAGTAATAATTTTATGCAAAAGAAAACAGAGCTGACAGAATAAACAATAGTGTCGCTATTACTCGCAATAACTTGTCATAGAAAACGTTTATAAACTTGCGGTAGCGTCCCTATGCTATAATGATAACTGTTATACTACTCAGTTTTTTTACTTCATTGATGATTTAATAAACTTGGTCAAGTATAACAGAAATAATATTCTCAAAGCTTGAATTCGTCACCTCACAACGAAATCCATAGATAATCTAAGCCTATACATGTTTTAAGTTGATTTTGGTTTATTTGCATAAGACTACTGAAAAGCCACTATAGCAGCCATAGAGGAATTATCAAGGTGCATTCATTTACACCAAAAGTAGGTCGTCTTTTTTGCGGGCCGAGTAGTCTGCCGTTGTTTTTTGAATGCATTTTTAAATGCAGTGCTGTACGATTTTTAGAGGTGTGCATCATCGATGAACATGGCGTGAATTGTAAATCATTAAAAAATCACGATAATGAATGTATAAATTAACACGATCGAGAAAATGCACAATTTCGGCCGTGGGATAAACTAGGTGTCATACTCATAACCGTGAGATCCTTAGTGTTAATTTGGTGATTTTTTGACATTATTCAGTTTCTCATTCTGATCCACTGTGAGGTTACGTATGTTTAAAAAAAAATTCTAAATGTCATTTATACTCCTTACGTACGAGTCTGAAATTTATTTTCACCTTGATAGAGGCATCATTGTCTATTGTAAGCAAAGCAATAGAATTTCAAAGAATAGCTTAAATACACTTAGCAGTACACTAATGAAACTGTTTGTTACAATCCGTCAGTCGAACTCAACAACGCTTACGTAATAGTTGTTATTCGCTCGGTCATAGTCCATAACGTGGCGATCTATAGCCTGTGTACATAGAGGTTAAAACCATTCGTTTTCTCTTTCAATAGGTGAGTAAATTATAGAATACGATAAAGAAACAATTGCAAAGTCTCGAATACTCTTCAAGTCAAATGTCAGGTCTAATGAAAAATATATGCGACTTATATATTCTTACAATTAATCAGAAAGAAGAAAAAAATCATACGTATTGGGCACCAACAATAGACGCAAGTTAAGTCCAGGCATTATTTGGAATACTGCGCAGTCCATTTTGAGGTACTCTTTGACGCCATGACTCGTTGTTCATTCTCCAATCTCTTTTGTTTAATTACTACAACAATCTATGAATTAACAGAATATGCTACCCCCAGTTACTCGCAGTATAAATCAATCTGAGTTGCTAAAATTTAATCATTTAGCTGAGCTTTCGATTGACTGATTTTGAGGCCTAGCTTTTCATGTAAGCTCGGAACAAGCCGTTTAGGCAACTGTGTTAAACCTTTTGTAACTATTTGTATCTTATTTATAGCACCCTACGAGACATAGACAGTGCATCTCGCATCGTTCCCGTCCTACCCTAATACGCATCATCTCAAAATGTAACTTACCTAATCAACAAGAGCTATTTGTAACTAAAAACGCATCACAAATTGCACTTACAGTACTAAAGCAATGTACCTATAGAAAATTGAAAAGCCATTAATTCTCTTCCGGTTAATTCTTCCTTTGATTAATTAGTGTGTTGTACTCTAACGAGATGCCACGATTAACCGTAGAAACTAAAACTGTGGCCGTAAGCAAGTCAACGTCCATATTTTTTCCGTAGCCAAGTACATAATTTTAGCCGAATCCATGATGTCCTGGTTTACTTTTTGTTCCCTAAGAGAAGGCCCTACGGGATGCTCATAATCACAGCCATAGCTGTCTCTAGCGTGGCCGTAGTTAAGGCCATGGCCGTATCCGCCATAACCGATTAGGTCAAATCCTGCCTTCCCGAACCCAAGGCAACCGGCGAGGCTAACAACAGCCGCAGTAACAAGAACAATGATGAGCTGGAAATACATAACGTATTACGTAAAAACAGAGTGTGAAAAGCGATGATCGTTCTGCTTCTAAGAATTGGGTTGTATTACTAAGATTCAGTATCTTAAGAAGACATAAGCATATATGATTCTATATAGTTATGAAATTTTGTGTGACATAAACGTCGCGACTAGTGCGATAAGAATGTCTTAAATTAATGGTATTATGTGTGGAGTTAGAAATATCGTAGACTAAGAAAAACATGCTTAGTACCTCGAACTCCTCGACCCCTGCATTAAGGTTACGGGTGAGGAAGGAGTATAACGGTATAAACATATAAAATAGCTTTAATCCAGATTCTCATAGGCCAACTACTTCGACATTGAGAACAGAGCTATCATTGTGGAAATCAAAATCTATAACGATATGCAGTCGATCATTTATCACTACTAATGTATGGATCCAAAAGATATTTGTCATATAAATCGTAATTTTCGCTAAAATTTGGTATTTTGAAATTGATGAACCATTTTTGATCTTGCTAATAATACTATGTACAACGAATTTTTTGAAATACAGCCAGTTGGAACTTGGTCAGTCGTACATTGAGCTTGGTAATCACGGCTAAAAACGTCTTTTTAGTCCCAACCTGTCAAAAATTGATGGGTCAGTATGAGTCTATGCAAAAAGTTTGCACTATCGTATTCTGCGGAAGTGTGTTCGTAAAGGCGATCGATAAATCATTTTTTAGTTTTTTATTGAGCATCAAGTCACTTTTCCAGGTTATTAAACACGCGCTGTACACCACTGAATCGAAACTTCAAGAGAAAGACTCTCTCGTTGTGTTCAATCCTATTCGCTGGTCGTAGAAGTTTTTCTGACGATTGTTAGTTAAGTGACCATGCTAGAACCCCGCATTTATAAAACTATCCCCTATGCCCAATACGAATATGTACTGTGCCCGTATATCCTACATCAGAACGCATATACTTACAGCTAAAGCAGCGTTTATTGTGATCAAAGTACAGCAGAGAGCAGGACAAGCACAAATTATTTGTTGTATACACAAAGTCGTCGTCTCTGGAACGAGCGACCTTTATCTGTCAGCCTACTATTGACGAGAAGGGTTCTCACAAGGGCGTACTAGGGGATATCTTTTTGTATGAAATGACACCCTATGATGTCCCCGTAAGCATTCCCGTTAGTCCGTCGGTCCTTACTGCCCCTCGCCCCACCCCATGTAAAATCAGACAGGAAATGTAAAAATATGACAGGGGTGACTGTAACCGTCACATGCACCTTGATAGAGCTCAGTCGCAGTATCATGAATTCTAGCCGTCGCAAAGTAGATCAACAGCAGAACATCTGTCCATCTCTTGGTAGTGATAATGGTGGCAAACGTTGTTGGTAGCCACACTACCCAGAAACATACCTCATGCGTGCATATAGGCACCAAACGCCGCAGCGCGTGCTATGGTCTTTTGGTAGCGACATTTTGTAGTTTCTTAGTCGGCGTACATGTATGTCTGAAAGAGCTTGCTTAGATTATCACTTGCCCGCTTCCATTTCGTGGGGGCTCCTTGTTATTAGAGTTTTTAGAGCCTTAGCTATATAACATTTCTTGGTTGTAGCATACGGTCTATGATAAATCGAGGGCTTTTCTGCTTGGCATGACAAAGCTAACAATATATCTCTCGATTGCACATGCGCCTTGATTTTTATCACATGAACGCTATACGCTTTGTTAGACCTTTTCCTATGTAGAAAAGCTGAAAACGGTTCTCACGGTTATGCTACTGTCATGAGGAATACTGCTTATTGATTGACGCGTCCAATTATAGATTTCGTTTAGAATCAAGTTTTCATTGTATGATCTTAGTCCCACGATTTGGAGGACTTTTATGGCACTATGTACATATCCTTACGTGTGCCATACTCGTCAGTACGCTCCACCGGCAAGAGACTTCTTTTTTTTATTATTTGAACGACACGCACGTAGTGAGGGTGTTGATGCGTAGCTTAATCAATATGTCTTTCAAGTCGTTCTGCCAAGTAGATAAACATATTTATTATAACAAAAAGAGAACTAAATCCTAGTTACCTGTTAGATAATTCGGGTGAGGAGCAGCACGGTCTTCAAAGGGGCAAACTCACTACATCATAACAGGATGAACAGTTAAATGAGGACACGAGACCATCTGTTATTCGACTGCACGTAAGGTAATCGATTCTATACTGATGAATAGGTTATGTGTTTTATATGCTGCAATTTCTCTCGGGAATGTTTATTTGCTTGCTAGACTTAACAAAAAAACTAAGCAGAGTGCCGCTCCGGGGATTTATCCCAATCTTCTCATACTTAATATTTTTTTTCTAAACATCAGATATATAGCTCCTTTTGAAACTGGAATCTCATTTGCATTACGAGTATGGTGTTTCATTAGTTTTCGGTAGACAATTTTAAATTTCAAATGAGCAATAACAGATTGGACTGTGAAATTGTTCGAAAGAAGATCAACTAAGAAAACGCGTATGGGTATACTTTTTCTAGTGTGCTCATTCTAATTATAGACTAGGTGTCGTAATCGCACCGGGTTTTAATGTACTACGTTACTCACGTTGTTTAATCTGGCACACTCGTTATGGAACTTTTGAAATTTCATATGCAAAGTTTCGTAGAGGTCGTATCGGAGCCAACTGAGCTTATTTCAGCAAATTTTATCACACGAGCATCGATCAGGCTCACAGTTAAATATTATATAATTAGATCACTTTTTATTACGGGCATATGAATGTAGAATAGACTTCTAGGGTAATAAGATATTAAAATATTTGATACTAGAAGAAACAGTTCAAGACTTCACTTATTTAATCA